TCTTCCAGATGTAAAATGATAAAAGCTTTTAATGAATAAATAAAATTAGCTAATTCAAAACATAAAACAAACTTAATTTGAAGCTTTCGTGACTGCAGGAATTACTCTTTGGTGATTTCGGTAAAGTCACGTAGAAAGAAAATCAATTAAATAATAGAGTACGACGTTTCGATTGCAACACGAGCAAACCGTCATCAGGTAGAACTACATTTGAGAGAGACAAAACACAGACACGGAGACACACAGAGAGAGACAACAGACAGAGACACAACATAGACACAGACACACAAGCAGAGAGAGACAACACAGAGATACAGAGACACACAACATAGACACACAGACAGACACAGAGAGGCAACAGACACACAGAGACACACAACATAGACACACAGACACACAAGCAGAGAGATACAACACAGACACACAGAGAGACACAACATAGACACACAATCAGAGAGACACAACATAGACACACAGACACAACACAGACACACAAGCAGAGAGAGACAACACAGTAACACAGAGACACACAACATAGACACACAGAGACCCAATGCCTCTGTTTCGAGGCCGCCTCTCTCTCTATTTAAGGCAATTTCTTATCTTTCTAAGTGACTTTACCGAAATAACCAAAGAACAGAATACAATTCAAAGATGTTTCATTTTGAAACTTCAAAACGGAGCATCGGGTGCTTGCGTCGTTCGTGTGCAATTTGTTTCGTGACTTTCCCGGCCGAAGGCGGTAAATGATTGTGAACAACCCCCCAGCAATGATGTAGAGTCATCAAATCTGTCGCTGGAGAGAGAATCAGCACCAGCTAAGGGGGGTGGGTGGGGGGGTACTGGATGAGTGTGGAGCCCCTCCACGTGTTCGGGGAGAGGGGCGCGGCCAAGCGGAGGGCGGGGGCCGGAAGGGAGAGCGGGGGCACCACGCCGGAAGGGGTTGAGGGCGGGGGCCGGAAGGGGTTTGGGGTTTTTTTATTTAAAGCTTTCGTGACTGCAGGGATTCATATTCTTGGTTCTTTCGGTAAAGTCACGTAGAAGAGAAACAATTAAATAATAAAATTCTCACGACGTTTCGACTGCAGCACAAGCAATCATCATCAGGTGTGAAAACCACAGCAAGAAAATTTGAAAAAAGTGGCGTTTTTTTAACGTTAGCACCACGGAGAGCGATTTGACATTTCTAGATTTAAAGCTTTCGTGACTGCTAGGATCCATACTCCTTGGTTCTATTGGGTAAAGTCACGTAGGTGAAAATAAAATAACAAAAAATCACGACGTTTCGACCACAACACAAGCGGCCTTCATCAGGTGAAGGGACGAGACTGTCTGGAGGACAGCGCTGGAGTGGAAGAAGCCACGCTTAGATCACGACCTTTAAGCTGTGTGAGAAGAAAAAGACCACGTGCCTTGACAAAGGAATTAGCATATAATTTAGCATTTAAATGGCTCATTGAAATGGCTAAGTTAAAGTATACACATCTGCAGAGGTACCCCTTGACAAAGGAATTAGCATCGAATTTAGCATTGAAATAGCTGAGTGATTAGCTTGTAACTGGTCACAGAAATAGCTATGTTAAAGTTAGAGCATATACATTCACCGAGGCACCTAGTACTCATCAAACAGGAGAATTTAGCGAAACACAACCACGCTCAGACATTGGACCTGTGTGCGAGCAAACAAGGTGTTCTGACAAAGAAATTAACATAAAAATTAGCATTTGATTGGCGGATTTTAGGAAAGAGGTGGTGTACGTGCCGGTGGACTCGCAGTTTGGCGCGGGGGGGGGGGGGGGAGTTTACCTATTGATGGTGTGAAAAGGGAATTTATAAGAGCTGCGAAAGTTTTGGGGTACCACTTCTTGAAAAATATACTGTACCATTGAAATTAGTTTAATGTTTAGTTCGATTTAGAACATCTTTCCAATGGTTGCTTAATTTGAAACCATCCTCTCGGTTGAAATTGTGTCTGTGTTTGTAGATCTGAATTGCTTCATGAACAAATCTCTGATAAAAGCCCGTGGGTTTGCAAAGAACCTTGGTATCACGATATAATTTTCTCCGATACCAAGGTTCTTTGCAAACCCACGGGCTTTTATCAGAGATTTGTTCATGAAGCAACTCAGATCTACAAACACAGACACAATTTCAACCGAGAGGATGGTTTCAAATTAAGCAACCATTGGAAAGATGTTCTAAATCGAACTAAACATTAAACTAATTTCAATGGTACAGTATATTTTTCAAGTAGTGGTACCCAAGCTTTCGCAGCTCTTATAAATTCCCCCTTTTCACACCATCAATAGGTAAACTCCCCCCCCCCCCGCGCCAAACTGCGAGTCCACCGGCACGTACACCACCTCTTTCCTAAAATCCGCCAATCAAATGCTAATTTTTATGCTAATTTCTTGGTCAGAACACCTTGTTTGCTCGCACACAGGTCCGATGTCTGAGCGTGGTTGTGTTTCGCTAAATTCTCCTGTTTGATGAGTACTAGGTGCCTCGGTGAATGTATATGCTCTAACTTTAACATAGCTATTTCTGTGACCAGTTACAAGCTAATCACTCAGCTATTTCAATGCTAAATTCGATGCTAATTCCTTTGTCAAGGGGTACCTCTGCGGATGTGTATACTTTAACTTAGCTATTTCAATGAACCATTTCAATGCTAAATTATATGCTAATTCCTTTGTCAAGGCACTTGGCCTTTTTCTTCTCACACAGCTTAAAGGTCGTGATCTAAGCGTGGCTTCTTCCACTCCAGTGCTAATTCCTTTGTCAAGGGGTACCTCTGCGGATGTGTATACTTTAACTTAGCTATTTCAATGAGCCATTTCAATGCTAAATTATATGCTAATTCCTTTGTCAAGGCACGTGGTCTTTGTCTTCTCACACAGCTTAAAGGTCGTGATCTAAGCGTGGCTTCTTCCACTCCAGTGCTGTCCTCCAGACAGTCTCGTCCCTTCACCTGATGAAGGCCGCTTTGTGTTGTGGCCGAAACGTCGTGATTTTTTGTTATTTTATTTTCACCTACGTGACTTTACCCAATAGAACCAAAGAGTAGCGATTTGACAGTTTGTTCAGATGGACGAGTCTACGTTCGGAAAAGAGGAAGGGGGAGACGAAAAATAATGGATGCGGTCTGAAAGCCACCGTAAACGTGAACAATTGGAAGGATTTGATAAACCATTTCGGGTCTTGATTGTTCACGCTTACGGTGGCTTTCAGACCGCATCCATTATTTTCGTCTCCCCCCTCCTCTTTTCCGAACATAGATGGACTCGTCCATCTGAACATAGATGGACTCATATTCTTAGTTTTTTCGGTAAAGTCACGTTGTAGGGAAACAACAAAATAATAAAATATATATAAAACAATAAAAAAATTCTCACGACGTTTCGACCATAACTCAAACGGTCGTCTTCAGGTGTGTTGGTTTGCATAAATTTATTTTTAAACGGCGCATTTATTTATTTTTAAAAAGTTAGCGCCACGCGCAACGATTTGACAGTTTATTTAGGACTAGTCCATCTATATTCTGAAAAGAGGAGGGGGGAGACGAAATTTTTTATAATGTATGCTGTCTGAAAGCCACTGTAAGCGTGAACAATCAATTAAGACCCGCAATGGTTTATCAAATCTTTCCAATGATTGCTGAACAAACTGCCAAATCGCTCTCCGTGGTGCTAACGTTAAAAAAAACGCCAATTTTTTTCAAATTTTCTTGCGGTGGTTTTCACACCTGATGATGATTGCTTGTGTTGCAGTCGAAACCTCGTGAGAATTTTATTGTTTTATATTTTTATTGTTTTATTGTTTCCCTTCTACGTGACTTTACCGAAAGAACCAAGAATATGGGTTTGGGGTTGTTGGTGGCGGAGCGAGCGGGGAGTGAGCTGGGAGCCGGTGATGTGTGTCCCGCGCGTGACGTCACTCCACATGAGGCCCCCCGCGTGACGTCACTCCACATGAGGCCCACTCCCCCCCGCGTGACGTCACTCCACATGAGGCCCACCCCCCCCCCCTCATTAATATTCATGAGCGGGTGGATTTTTACACTCCCGCAGAAGGCCGAGCTGAAATAAAATTACGCAAATGATCTTTAAACTTGACGTTTCTTTATTGAAAGTTATTCAAGTAAATAAATCTACGCAGACATTTCTTTACAGAAAGTGACGCTAAAAAAAAAATACACGCAATCAAAGTGCTACATCCGTACGTGACGTCACTGTAAAAAAGGCCCCGCCCCCCCGTCATTAATAATCAGAATCAGAAAGGGTTTTATTCGCCATGTAAGTTCACACCGACACGGAATTTACTTTGGCAGGATGGTGCATACATTCAACATATAGGAATCTAAAATCTTAAATAAGTTTTAAACAAGTCTTACTATAATAAGGGTTAAAAGTCTAACACTAAGGGGCTGAAGTATATAAAATTAAATAAATATCGAATATAAAATAGCTTTAAGATATAATTAAAAAATACAAATAGGGAAACATAGTTAATATCAGCAACGTGTCGTTATGTAGATCAAATGTTAAAAACAGTGTTAGCCCTTGGCCTTGTTTAACAGGCCAGCAGCAGATGGGAAGAAACTGTTTTTATGGCGTGAGGTTTTGGTCCTGATGGACCGAAGCCTTCTGCCGGAGGGGAGTAGCTGAAACAGAGAGTGTCCAGGGTGGGAGAAATCGGCCATAATCTTCCTCGCTCGCCTCATAGACCTTGTCGTGTGCAGGTCCTCGAGGGTCGGTAGATTGCAGGCAATTACCTTCTCAGCAGTGTGGATGATACGCTGCAGTCTGCTCTTGTCCTTGGCAGCGGCTGAATCACACAAAGAAAGCGTAAATGTTCAGTACATCTTAATTTTTTTAATTTAAAGCTTTCGTGACTGCAGGGATTCATATTCTTTGGTTCTTTCGGTAAAGTCACGTAGAAGGGAGAATTGTATTGCTTTTTATATTTTTTTTATCATTTTATTGTTTCCCCTTCTACGTGACTTTACCGAAAGAACCGAAGAATTTGAATCCCTGCAGTCACGAAATCTTTAAATAAAAAAAGAATATACATCTTTTATATTTCAGCTTCCGTCCTGGGACCCGGCAAACAAAGCTCGTAATCAATCTTTATTTACAGCTTTCGTGCCTGCAGGAATCCACACTCTTTGCGTCTTTAAGGTAAAGTCGCGTAGGTAGAAAAAAAATAAAAAAAATTATCACGACATTTCGATCGCAACGCAAGCGGAAAAAAATATATAATCGTGCTGGATTAAGCTCGTAATCTAAATAATCATCTCTTTTTTTTGTTTTGTTACCCTGGCAGGGCAGATTTAATATCTTTCCTTTGCCAGCAGAGGGAGCAGGAAGAGGAGAAAGTTCACTGCTGGTTGTGAGCGCGAGTCTCCCAAGCGAGGCCTTATTCACCGGGGCTGGGGCGTTGACAGCCAGATGATCGTGGTCTTTGCGTGTTGTTGATGTTGTTGTTGATGTCGTCGATGTCGTCGATGTCGTCGTCTTATTCTTTACAAAGAAAGAGCCGTCGTAGGTGAGGCAAATTTCAGAATAGCTCCAACCGCTGCTGTTGCCCCAATACAACACAATTCACTCCAATACAACACAATTCACTCCTGAGATCTCAAGCCAACACAACCACTGCTGCCGCAAGCCCTTCGTTGTGAGTACTGTCACTTTACCCACCGTGTCGCGTGCGCGTACAATAACTGCACACACACACACACGTTGCACCGTACTCTCTCTCTCTCTCAATGCATTAAAGTGTGTTTGTTGTGTTATGTGGGTCGCAACGACACAATGTCGCGGGATCCCTTGGGTGTTTCAGCGGGCAGTAGCAGCGGTGTGGACCCGGCTAGGGCGCACGAGGGGTGGCTAACAACAACCACGCCCGGCCGCCTTTGTCTCCCCGGTGCTAATGTCTGCGCGCCGCACCGGGTACGCGATTTAAGGCTGAGTCGACCAAGGGGTTAACATTTTCGCCACTGGATGTTGGCCGTGAGCGGGAATCGTAACTCGAGAGAGAGAGAGAGCCGGGTTCGTCGTGTAGTGCGCTAACCACTGCGCCACCGCCCCCCCCACACACCACTACTCCGCTTTAAATCAGTAAATATAATCAGCTTAAGCCATGAATATAGAAACAAAAACATTCGTCAGTTAAGTTTTGATTAAAAGCTTTCGTGACTGCAGGGATTCATATTCTTGGTTCTTTCGGTAAAGTCACCACGTAGAAGGGAAAAATATTTTTTTATTATTTTATTGTTTCCCTTCTCCGTGACTTTACCGAATGAACCAAGAATATTCGTAAGTTACACAAAAATATATCATGGGTGACGTTTCGGGCACAGGTCCCTCTGCATAGCACGTAAATCTTTATTTATGTGCTGTGGAAAAATAAATGTTCACGTATGTGTAATGGAGAAGGGCCATTGCCTGAAACGTCGCCTATGGGGCCGACCATAAATGACGTCACGCACCTAGGGGGGGGGGTCAGACATTTGGGACGATGTGTGACGAGGGGGAGGGGGTTTGAGAAATGTGACGTCACATCAAAATGTGCAACTTTAAATAAATATAAACACGTTCTACTTAATTAAATAGACTTTTTAATAAAATGTTTTCTCCTACAACATCAGAGTGCAGCACCACATTAAATACGCACTACAATGACAATAGTTTAAAGCGATTTGAAGCATGTGGTTTTTTGGGGGGGGGGGGGCAGAGCTTTGTGACGTCATATTTGAGGGGGGCTCTGACTTTTTGTGACGCCGTGTGACAAAGGGGAGGGGGGTTAAAAATCGTCCAAAATCGCGTGACGTCATTTATGGACGGGCCCCTATTATATTTTTATTTTAAGGCCATCGTGCTTGTGCACCACTGCCAAGGCAGCAGAATCACCAAATAATTTCCACAAACATGAAGCCGGCTCATATTGATCGAATTGTGAGTGGCACACCTAACCGTTCCCCTGGCTTGTGCCGCTGCCGCTGCCGTGTGCGAAGGCGGTGAGTGTCGTGCCTCTCATGCGTGCAGGGATGGCATCTTCAGGGTCACTTACTGCCAGGCTACGCTCCCTGTACAGCCCTTGTGCGGCATTAGCAGCGGCGGCGGCAGCGGCTCAGTCACCTGCACAGCTCAACTTCGTGCACGGCCGACAGACGATCCCTGATAAGTCGACCGGTGGGCCGGAGTTTGACGTCGTCAACCCTGCTACAGGTTCGTGGCCTCGCTCGTTTCTCACTGAGTCACGTAAATGCTGTTGTTCGGTCCCCACGGCCAAAGTTGCGGTCCTCTTGGTGCTAACAGGTGGCCTGCTTTGCCGAGGCCAGGCATCTGGCGCAGTGGACGTTCAGGCGGCCGTGAAGGATGCCCGAGAGGCATTTGAGGGGTCCTGGAGGGGCCTTTCAGGCTCGGAGCGCAGCCAACATCTCCTGCGAGCATCTGCAATAATCAAGGTGACACCCGTACCCTTTTTTATACCGGCACATCTGAGCATCTCGCAATGCAGGTGGTTTTCCGCTGGCTGCCTGAAGTACTGCACCGGAACCAAACCCTTAAATGCTGCCCTCACAAGACATCAGAATCTAGCTCGGGGCCAAGCAGGGCCAGGGGCGGGGATAAAATGTCAATGGCACGGGTTCTGCAGTGGAAAAGCAACCTGGCGCCTCCTGAGCTGCTCTGGGCTGGCTCGGTACGGCCCTGGCACGGCTCGGTCGACTGCTCGATGAGGACCTTCACACACCATGCAGGTCCACAGGGTTATTTGAGCACACTTCACCTCATCAATCAGTGCACGTTGGTGAAGGTGAGGAGGATAGATGTGGGAGCGCGGAAGTACAGTACAATGGGTTTTGCCGCACTGCCCTCAGCTGCCCACTACTTTGCTCCTCAAGTCCTTTAAAATAACTTGCATGCACATCATGCATTCACTCTTTAATAGACATAAAGGATTTTCACTTGTCCATTTCTAACTCCTCTTTGTGTTGTACAACGAATGGGCACTTCAAATGCCAAGGCTTCATGACGTTCTCATTGTGCAGGCTTGCCAGTAGAAGTTTGGCAATGGTGAATTATTCAAATTCTAGCCTCTAAACATGCTCCCACGCATAGTTTAATAATGTTTAACAAAACACCGAGGCAATTAACAACGAATGGCAAGCACTGCTCTTGTTCGTTGGTCCCAACCACAAGCTGCGTAGCCAATGTTAGCATCTTTGGAATCTTAGATGTGGGAACCCTCTCGCCCCTCCGAACAGCGGGTGGCTTTGTCTCTTCCTAGAAACGCCACTGGCACTTTTCAAAGAGGCGAGCCTTTCAAAGAGAGGCTTCTGAGCCAAGGTGGCATGTCGTGAAGTGGAGGGGCGATGTCGAAAGGTCGTTTTGTTTGCTGCGCAGGAAAGGAGGGAGGAGTTGGCTGTGATGGAGGTGAAGGACACAGGCAAGCCGGTGTACGAGGCGCGAATGGATGTGGACTCGGGGTGGCAGTGCCTGGAGTACTTTGCGGGACTCGCTCCCACCATCGCCGGTACCGAAATCAGGCAGTAGACACCGGGGCTTCTTGGGATGCCTTCGGCTGTTAGAAGTGGGCGTCCAGCCAGCAGAGCCTGTTGTGTAAACGTTTTTGCTGCATCGGCAACAGCTCGTAAATGATTGTAAATGCCACATAAAACGTTGACGAATAAAAAAAATATCCAGTCAATTTATACTGTAATGTTTTGAGAGTGAATTCTATACATTGCTGCTTTAGAAAATAAAATTCCATCCTTTGATAATGCAAATACATTGGTGAGTCCATAAGGCACTGTGGTAATAAATCAGTTTGCAGTACGTGTAGATGCACATTAATTTTATGAGAGGCAGTGAAAATTTGGGATTGCAGTATACCACGTAACTTACAATCACTTAAAATCTGATTTAGTTAAGAGAACACATGATAATCATTATGTGCAACAGAGGGCAGTAAAGTTAAATCAAGTGTTGCACTTTACCTCTATGCTGCAACATCTATGCTCGCTGCCTTCGACATGCACTGATCAGCGTGGTGAAGTATGGTAAAAAAAATTCCCATGAATGACCCACACGGTGTGGGTAAGCCCTTGTCCAGCAGTGGTTTGACAAAATGGCTGTACGTGCAGGGGCGGCGCCAGGATTTTAACTTTGGGGGGGCTGACTTCAATATTCTGAGATATCCAGTGTTTATGTTTTCCAATGGGCGCCACAAATGTATAAAACAAATTTTATTGGATTTGAACGCGGAGTTTATTAATAGGTCGGAGCCGCTGATGTGGCTAATAAGTTCGATAAGTTCGAAAGGCTGCCGCTCAAGCAGCCTGCAGGGAAGCACAAGGTGGCAGCCTGCAGCATTTTGCAGCAGCCAGATATCCGGTTATCCCGATTACCAACTTTCCCAAAATTTCAGGGTGGGCTGAGCCCCCCCAGCCCCCCCTGTGGCTCCACCCCTGTTTACGTGTACAAATTACATGTGCATAATTCCTATTTGTAGTTGGATTTCAATATTAATATGAGAAGTGTGAGTTTGTGCACTTTTTTAAAAACTGCCTCCTCAAAAGCATTTCTGGCAGCCCCTCGTTTCGAGAACACATTCACAATCGTCTCAGACCAAAACGACCCATTCACTGTCTTTATGCCTAAGCACAGAAATAGGACTCGCTAACTCACCGTGCGCTGTCTTCCCCCCCATCGTTAGGCCAGCACATTCAACTCCCTGGCGGCTCCTTCATGTACTCGAGGCGGGAGCCGTTGGGAGTGTGTGTGGGCATCGGAGCGTGGAACTTCCCCTTTCAGATCGCCTGCTGGAAGTCTGCCCCAGCCTTGGCGTGCGGTACTGTACCACCTGCCTATCTCACACTTGTATTCAAGATTGAAGTGTTGAGAGTAATTGCAAAGGAGATACCAAAGCGGAAAGTCCATCACCTGGCCATGGCCTGGACTATGCCAGCAGAGGGGAATCTACAGTATCCGGCCCGCAACTTCATTATATCTGGCCTGCGGCAATATGAGGCCTGCCAATCCACTTAGAAACTACCAACAAACAATATGTATCCGTAATTGCGAAGATCTTAGTCGCACTAATCGGGTACTAGAGGGGAATTTTGCCAACCTAACAACACTATTTTTAATTCTAGAAACACACTTAGTCACTTCTGTTACTGTCAGGGCCACCTGCAATAACATAAGTCATTGAGCGTGTGTGTTAATGTGTCGCCTGCCAAAGGTATTTGAGATTCCTATTTGCCCCTCAGTGAAAAACGGTTTCTCCACCCCTGGTGTTCATCAACAGTATGAATGCTTCTTTGGAATTTTCTGAGATATTTAGCAGTTATAAATTTACAGTCTGACATAAACGCCACGCATGTGCTCAGTCAGTGACCACCTAAATGATGCAATGCAACACCACAAACAAAAAAAGCATAGTCCTCAGTCCAAAGCCATAAGCTTAATTCCAATCTACGGCATCAACGTTCGCAATGAGTGCTACCATGTGTTTCCTTGTGCAGGCAATGCGATGGTATTTAAGCCATCGCCCCTCACTCCGCTGACCGCCGTGGCTTTGGCGGAGATTTACACCGAGGCCGGTTTACCACCGGGCCTCTTTAACATCGTCCAGGGCGATGGGGAAACCGGGCAGCTGCTCTGCTCCCATAACGACGTGGCCAAGGTGTCCTGCACTGGCAGTGTGGGCACAGGCGTCAAGGTGAGGGCTCCACCACTCAAGCAGGAGAGGCGCGTGCTTCTGTCTGGACATTTACAAGTGAATGAGCCAGGTGCATGGAAGAGCCTTTTCCTACACCATCAGCACTTAATTTCAGCTGGAACAGTCCGGAACGTGGCTCCGGGAATTGTTTTAGCGAGTCGCATCCGTCCCGCCTTATGTGTAATAAACACGCGCCAATAGTGCTAAGGGCTACTGGATGTCTTTAAGGACAGTGCTTAAATATAGAGTTTAAAAAAAATGTATTATAGATAAGCATACCTCGTCCTACAGTGGTGTGGTGCCTTATGTCACAAATCCCTACCTAAAGCCAGCCTAGCAGTGTCATGAAAACTATTGATAGAGAAATCAGGCCTGCATACATACCATGAACTCGTACATTCTCATACACTCAGGCTAAACTTGCTTTAGCATTTAATTTTTGGCAATAATTTGTCTGCATGTGATAATTCACCCTGATTTAAACAAATTTCAGGGTCACATTTGTTCAACAAATGTAATTTTTTTTAAATCAAAATTTTATGACCTTTTAAATATTTTCTGGTTTTTGCCTCATCTGTACGGTTTTGTTTTCCTCTTTAACCTATATGTAACATGAGCATTCAATTTGCATATATTCTGTATGAAATGTAAATATCCATTGTCATATGTTTGATTTTATATGTACATCATGAGCATAATCATTAAAATGATGCATTTTTGTATTCGTTTATATTTACAAAGCCAGATTTTTTTTATTTTACTGCCTCTGTGCAATCAGGCTTCTATCTAAACCTTTATCACAAGTGTCTTAAAGTCAACCGGCTAATCAACGGTCATGTTTCAAGTGCGATTTTTCAGGTTAGTCTGCATGTTGAGCATTTCTTCTCTGGAGCCCAAGACAACCGCAGCTAGTAGCGCATGGCAAAAGCTTGAGAGAAGAAATTCTCAACACACAGCGCAACCACAACAACCACACTTGGATTACAAGCGACTGCGCAAACTCGTGTTAATTTCTACAACAAAAACATCATGGGACCTCCTTTGCCAGTACCAAAATATGAGAATAGGTTTCCCCTTTTTTTTCTGGCAACAAAACAGGTGTTACGATTGTAAATCCCAAACTGAAACCCTTTACAAGGAATCATGTCTGCATTAATCACAATACTTGTGGTCAGAATGCAAACAATAAACGTACTAAATTTTGATTTAAAGCTTTCGTGACTGCAGGGATTCGTATTCTTGGTTCTTTCGGTAAAGTCACGTAGAAGGGAAACAATAAAATAATAAAAATATAAAACAATAAACGTACTCTGATAATATATGCAATATACATGCTTCTTCTGTAGGTGCTGCAACAGACAGCGCCAAGGATAAAACCCGTGACCCTGGAGCTGGGGGGAAAATCCCCCCTCATCGTTTTCAGCGACTGTGACCTGGACAACGCGGTGAAGGCAGCCCTCATGGGGAACTTCCTCAGCCAGGGGCAGGTGAGCCGTCTCAGCCCTGGCGGTCCCGCTGGGAAGGCGAACGCCTCCTCTCCTTACCCACCTCTCCTTATAGAGTTCAGCTCCAGCGTCATACACCTCAACAAACCCTTTTATTATCCCTGGCAGCTGAAGACCTCTCAAAAACAAGCTTGACTGTAACAAAAAATTGTAGCCTTTATTAGTCACTGCACATTTCACTGAGATGGCAAGGTACTCTGCTGGTTTGACTTACATGCAATTGCACCTACAGCCATTGGACTTTTCGATAACTACACTGCGTATGAGTGTTATGGTGTATGATATTTTCAGTGATCAGTAGTTTCCAATATACAAAATATATTGCATTCTTTAAATGTGCTAAAATAGTGTTGTGGTTATCTGTTCAGTGAACATAATGAGTTAATTAGTTTTGAGATGAGATTTCAAAGTTCCATGTGTCCCCATGTCATACTCCAGGAAAGCCTTGCTGACTCTTTAGACCTGATTTTTAAGAGGCTTCTTCAGTAGGATGTTTGGCAAATTTGTATACCTCCATCTTCTGGACATTTCACAGCCCGGCCGGATTTGAGTCTCATTCTTTCATATGGCATTTGAAAATAGCAACAGGCTACAATTGTATATTTCATTTTCTAAGCCATTCCATGGCATCCAAGGTAGCTGAGTGGAGTCCACTTGTTCCACCAGAATACTTGTGTTGTGTTGGGCAGTCATCGGCGATATGCCAGATGGTTTACCCCACACCGCATTCGGAGTTTGGTCGGTCTCGTACATCCACGCTATCCACCAGTGCTTTCCTCCTAAGCGCTGAATCACAGGCATTTGCACCTGTGGTGTAGCATGGTTCACATGAGCACTGATGGAGAGGTGAAATGGGCCTTCTCACCCAGTACAATCTCCCCACCCTTTTGCAGCCTGGCACCTAGGCCTGTCCGGCTCGTGGGCCCCGATGTATATAGTTGCATCGCCTGCACATTCGATAGCTACGCCACTGGTGTTTGCCTCTGCGCAGGTGTGCTCCAATGCGACGCGAGTGTTCGTCCAGCGATCCGTGTGCGAGCGGTTCCTGGAGCGATTGCTGGACAGGGTGAGCGCCATCCGCATCGGAGACCCCCAGCGAGACAGCACCACCATGGGAGCCCTCATCAGCCAGAGCCACCTGGACAGGGTGCTGGCCTACGTGCAGAGGGCCGTGCAGGAGGTGGGGTGTGCTCACACCGTCAATAAAATCATGAACGCATAGCACGTCGTGTGTGGTAAACAAGGTGAAGTGTCATTGTAAAACCAGGTCGTGTGTATGTGGTTATTTGTACAGGGAGCAAAGCTCGTTTGCGGTGGCAAAAAATATGTTCCTGAGGATCCCAGCCTTAAGGGAGGGTTCTTCATGACTCCCTGTGTTCTGGGTAAGTAATATGGCCACACCTTTAAGCTTACAATTCCATAGATTGATTCCATGATGTGATGTGTATTCACTCCGTGATAAAATTATATCCCCAGTTCATTTATACTGGTCATAGTTTACAGCCCTGAGGCAGTGGTGGAGATTCCATATTCCTTTGGCTAAGGGGAGTCTTTCCATAGAACAACCACGTTTGACTTCCCCACAAACTGGTACTAATCTTCATCATTAGACCTCCTTTGCCAGTACCAAAATGTAATCATAGGGTTTTTCCCCTTTTTTCTGGCAACAAAACTGAAACCTTTTTACAAGGATTCATGTCTGCATTAACCACAATACCTGCAGTCAAAATGCAAAAAAACATACTATGATAATATATGCATTGTCATATGCTTAGCTCTTTCGGTAAAGTCACCTTGAAGGGAAACAATAAAATAATAAAATATATATAAAACAATAAAAATTCTCACGACGTTTCGACCATAACACAAACGGTCGTCATCACCTGATGACCTACTAATTGTTTCCCTTCAACGTGACTTTACCGAAAGAGCTAAGAATATGAATTACTGCAGTCACGAAAGCTTTAAATCAAAAATATGCATTGTCCTTGAAACTGATTGATCAACACCAAGAAAGCCGTCCTTGGTGTGGACCAATCAGTTTCAAGGATAATGCATATATTATCATAGTATGTTTTTTGTTTGCATTTTGACTGCAGGTATTGTGGTTAATGCAGACATGAATCCTTGTAAAAAGGTTTAAGTTTTGTTGCCAGAAAAAAGGGGAAAAACCCTATTATTATGGTACTAATCTTTTTCAAACCAGAGGAGGGATGAGAGGCCAAGTCAACCCCCAACCAGAATTTGAACTCGCAGCCTTACAATTGCAAGCTGCTCACTCTACTGTAAAACCACAGACCTATTATTCAAGAAATAATATGCTTCTTGGCTTTTGTAAAAAAAAAATGCTTGATTGTATACATACAAATGCACTACCAGGTCCTATATTAATGTATGAATTTTGGCATTTGGGACTGCACCTAGCCAACATATCCACGGTAGCCTTGAATGACAACCGACGGCTGCACTTTTGCCTGGCAGCGGAGTGCAGGGACGACATGCAGGCCGTGCGGGAGGAAATATTTGGACCTGTCATGGCCGTCCTCGCCTTTGACACGGAGGAAGAGGTGTTGCAGAGGGCAAACGCCACAGACTTTGGATTGGCAGCCGGCGTTTTCACAAAGTGAGGAACAACACCAACAAATTCAGTTTATACGGCATCTAAATGCAATCACATCTCAAGGTGCTTTACAAAAATCAAAACCTGATATTGGGGTAGAAGAGTGGGGTTGGGGAGAATGGGAGCTCAGAGCAAGGGGGGACCCACACGGGAGAGAGGAGTGAAAACAACACCGTGGCGGCACAGCCCGGGATGAAGCGACCAGGGCCCTGCACCAACAACAACAACGGACCCTAGGGACATCGAGAGCAGCACTGACAGGTCCCAAATTCAACTGAATTGTACTCCAGTAGGTAAAAGTCCGTGTTAAATAAATGTAAGTAATTTCAATGTGCCACTGCTTATACAAGTAATTTATAAAGTATGGCTGATGTACATATCCTTCCGTATCATTTTCCCAAATTAGTGTGATGCGTAGGAACTGACTCTTTTAAGGGAGCCGTTTGAGGACACAAAAATTATGAAACCCCTAAACCAATCGCTACAAAAGATACCAAACAGCCTACCAATAGTTTTGCCAAAATCTGTATAGTTTTAACAAAATACAAATGATCCTTGAAAAAAAAATGTTAAATTGCGAACCAATTACGTGGGTGAAAGGTTGCGCATCTAATGTGCACATCCATTTGCCTACTTCGATAAGTACATTTCGTTTTATATATTTACACCTGAATTACCTTAATAATTGAAGATGCCAAACATGTATTGGCTTGTCATATCTGGTTATTGTTCCATTGTATCCCCAGAGATCTGACTCGAGCCCATCGTGTAATAGCTGCTTTGCAAGCTGGGTCCTGCTACATCAACAACTACAACGTTGTCTTAATGGAGATGCCCTTTGGAGGCTACAAGATGTCTGGTACGTACTGCATCGTCATCATTGCTTAACATTTATTCCATGCCCTTCCAATGAGTACATTTTGAGGTGCCCTTTAGCAGAGGACACCTGGTGGCAGCTGTCTCTGCGAGGTGCAAGGTGAATACGGCACCGGCCAGCAAGTGAGCGTAAGTCTGCCAGTAGGGGACGATTCTGAAATGTGGTTTCCCAAATAAGTAATTTGTGAGTAACTTATACAATTTTTAACTTTTGGACCATGACACTGGAAAGCATTGCCTATTTTTCAAACAACGTAGTGGGATTTGTAACACCCACAGAGAAGCAAATGGTGCCTATTTTTACAGTTCATACACTCGCAGGGCATCTGCTGGTGTTTGAAACCGTGAATCTCTGCAACAAAAGTTTCATCACTTTTTTTGACATGTCACCGTCACGTGTGCTGTCACTCGAGCAAACTTCTCAACTCAGTTGACTTTCGCCACGTGTTTTTTTTTCTTTCTTATGAAATGTTAATTACAGATTTGTGTGCTCTCCAGGGTTTGGAAGGGAGAATGGAATGGCCACTGTGGACTATTACACTCAGCTCAAGACTGTGTATGTTGAGATGGGAGATGTTACATGCACACTGTAACACTCACTTCTCGGATTCTTTAAAAAAAAGTTATGCAGCTTTACAATTAAAAATTATAATCAATCAATGTCATTGTCGACATTTGTCTGTGCTTTCCCATAAATGTACTGTTCTGCATATGATCCTGTTTTAAAGATTGCAAAATAAAATCAGTTGCAACACTGCTGTTGGGAATGTTAATGACCCTTGTAATGCGTATGTGTATTCATAACTTGGAGGTGACTAAATTGTGATTACTACAGGGACAATCCCAAGTCTCTGTTTATGGATTTGGCTAAAATAATTCTTGCCACATTGCAGGATCATGAGAAGTGGTGATAGCATGGGGAGGCCTTCATCCAGCAGTGGATTGACCATGGCTCATGATGATGACATGAACTCAGGAACACGTTTTTATTTATTTATATAGCATCTAATATGATATCTCAGAAAACTGTCGAAATGTGAGATAATCACGTAACTTGAAGACATTTATATTTGGGGAAGAACTGAAGTGGAAACCTACCAGGCAGGGGGAAGAAAGGAGGCATGATAGTCATAGAGAAGCATAACTATACCTTGAGCCTTCATTTGAACCGTGGATGTTAGACATCAAAAGCAGCTGCAGATGAGCGACTTCTCTTTAAGTGGAACTCGACTGGGAGGTTTTGACAACAATGCCTTGGGTTGTGGAGCAGAGTGGAGTGACGTCATGTAAAGAATAGAGTTATGTTTGTATTTGATTTTACACACTGCTCTGCGGCAACGCATCATGAGTTTGTGTGGAAAGCCAAGAGCTATAAAGCCATGTTTCAAACAACACTGTCAAAAAACTCAATGTACAGTATATGCAAACGCCATCAGCATTTCATGAAGAGGTGCATTGTGCTCCCCTATGTCTTAGGTAAGCATCAAAATAAACTTGAGTAAATGTCACGGATTGACAGCAGCAGCGGTGATGCAGATATGGACAACTGTGGACCGGTTCCATCATAATTGGGGGGCCATCAGCACAATATAGTCACCATTGCTCACTGCTGCAAAGAATGGAAACCATTATACTGTATGTCGAGTTCCCACTTCCACACCGTGGAAAGTCAACAGGTCCCATGGACAGAAGCAGGTGTTTACGCTGGAGTTCGTGGACATCCTAGAGGCAATGTTGTTCATTGTGTAAAGACTGTGTCAGTAAGTCTCGAGGTGAAGACAGGGTGTCAGCGAGGCTGGATGCAAAGAGAAGGTGCCAGCAAGTATTGAGGATTTTGGTTGGGAAATTCCCAAGAGTGTGGCTGGATGCAAAGAGAATGTGCCAGCAAGTCTTGAGGGTCTTGGTTGGGAATTCCAAAGAGTGTGGCTGGATGCAAAGAGAAGGTGCCAGCAAGTCTTGAGGATCTTGGTTGGGAAATTCCCAAGAGTGTCCAAAAGAGACAGCTGGGGAAATTCCCCCCGGAGAATCCAAGAGGATAAAAGCAGGGCAATAAGGGATGGTCGGGGTCTGTGGAGAGGGACCCGGGCCATCGTCGCTGTCTGCACGTCGTTGCTGTCTTCAAGTCGTCGCGGTCTGCTCGGTCGTACGATCTCCACGTCGGCATCATTTCATGGCGACGTGGTCCTAAGCTACGTTACGTGCAATAAAATGAACCTCTTAAAGTTCGAGTCCGGAGTCGTTACAATTGCAAGGCCCGCGGGCCGCTGGCGGCTCCCGGTGGCCTTTAGTGCGGCCCCGGACCATACACACACACGTACACGGTGAAAACACCCCATCATCGTCGTCTTGTTGTCAAACCCCAATCGTTTCAAATGTGTGGCGGCCCTCACACTGATGTCTTATCTGCGAAACTGCCCCCCCCCCCCCGCTGCCCCCCTCTGAAAATTAGTGAAGAACACTGGCCTAGAGGCAGCTGGGTTGAAGAAAAATACAACCCGAGTGTTCTTTAACAAATACAACTCAACACATTCGTAAATAACACTGCGGCTTTCAAAGAAAAAAAACAAATATACAACAGGCAACGTTTCGGGCAACGGCCCTTGTTCGTAGCACACGGGCCAGAGAGTAATCACGATCCATGGGGCAGATAGTTCGTAGGTGTCCACTGCCCATTTCGTCATTTGTTTCCACTTTCCTCTTTGTCTCGTGCCAATATGGCTCAAGAAGTTGCCACATCTTTCTGGCACTAATCTCTTATGTCGTCAAGCCATTCATTCTCTGTGAGATCTTCCTCTCTTTCAGGTTCCTTACATTCTTGTGAACAACACTTTCACATTTTCCCGTTGTCCATCCCACGTGTGCCCAAATAGTGCTGCTGCCTGCATCATCAGGTCTTCATATTCGTGCAACGTTTTTTTCCCCCCTTTATATTTCTACGTTGGTCACTCTTTTGGGTTCAGTTTGTAAGCAATAACATTTTTTTTAATTCTTAGTTCTTTCGAGAAAGTCACGTAGAAGGGAAACAATATATATATTTTTATTTTATTGTTTCGCTTCTACGTGACTTTACCGAAAGAACCAAGAATATGAATCCCTGCAGTCACGAAAGCGTTAAATCAAAACATTTTTTTTGTAAAAAAAACATTTGTTTTAATCTCGCGAGACTTGACGAGGCGGAGGATGCGACATCTCGCGATATTTGTGGAGGGGGGAGGAGGAGTCGGAGGGGGGAGGAGGAGTCGGAGGGGGGGGGAGGAGTCGGAGGGGACAGAAACGGAAGATGGCGTCGTGCGATCGGTCCCGCTCCGTCGCTTCTCCCGGGACCGACAAGAGGTGAGAGTGATCGGCGATGTTTTATTTATTAACCTACACCCTCTTCCTCCTCATCCACCTCATCCTCCATCATCTTTTGGTTTCCCGCCGCCCGCGTTGCGCTGTTGACGGCTTCCGCGGCGCCGGCCTTCGCCACTGTACTGTACGTACAGTGGCGGGTGAAAGTGTTTTATTTTATTGACGGATTATAAAACAACAAAAAGACGCGGCACCGGCGTGCTTGCCCGAGCTTTGTCGGACCGAGTTGTACAACGTTCATGATAAGAGGTGTTGTTTTTTTTGTGAGGGGAGGGGGTTAGATCGCGTAAATATATAAATGTGTCGTTAAACCCGCCACCACCCGACACAGCCAACTAGTAAGGGCTTTGTCACGTAAACAGAACGTGGCCAATTCGTTACTTAGTACAGCACACCGGTTGTGTGTTGTGAGAGTAAATCCACAACATTTGCAATCTTGAGCACGACATTTTGCCAGTAACTACAACTGGCATCATCAGGCAGACAGCCAGATTTGTGATGATGCTGGTTGTAATTACTAGCGAAACGTCGTACTAGGGATTTTAAAAATGTGGACAAACCTTGCTAATTGGGTGGTGGCGGGTTAAACGACACTTTATATTTACGCGATCTAACCCAAAAAAACATCTGTGTTATGGATTACATCGTGAAAGCCTACGTGTTAAACTGTACAACGCTGATCGTCCAATACCCGCCATTTCGCCACTCGAGTAACGGTGGCGTCACCACTGCGCGCCTGTGCCAGGCTAGGTGCACTTTGAGGCTGCCACTTGAAGTGTCGAAGGCTCGCTGCTGGCAGGAGGTCTCGGGACAGACCCTGCAGGTGTCATGGGTTTGTACTGCTGTGCCAGGCTAGGTGCAGGAGTTCACGGGACAGACCCTGCAGGTGCCATGGGTTGTACTGCTGTGCCAGGCTAGGTGCAGGAGAAGGTCACGAGACCCAGCAAGTGCCATAGGTTGTACTGCTGTGCCAGGCTAGGTGCAGGAGGAGGTCACGAGACAGACCCTGCAGGTGCCATGGGTTGTACTGCTGTGCCAGGCTAGGTGCAGGAGGAGGTCTCGGGACAGACCCTGCAGGTGCCATGGGTTTGTACTGCTGTGCCAGGCTAGGTGCAGGAGGAGGTCACGGGACAGACCCTGCAGGTGCCATGGGTTGGCTGACTGAGATGACAGGTAGACGCACACTAGCTGTGTACCCCCTTACGGTACCAACTTGCTGCATCTTATCCGTCCAGCGCTCCGCTCGTTGTTGTGAGCGTTACTCCTCTGCTCTCCGTTGTTGCTGGAATGCGACTGCCTTCAACTTGCCCAGAAGCAGCGTCCTTCATGAGCCTCCTCCACAGAGGCCGATCATCTCACACGCCACACACGGGCGCGCGCACACACTTACTGGATTATAAGACGCCCGCCCCTCATGATGTTACAGTACAAGGGGGTGTGGGGGAACGTGCTTGTAAATTCCGAGAATTATAGAATATTGTATTAGTGTTTTATTGTTTAGCATCAATTAGTGGCTTCATTGCGCGAGTGTTTGAGTTGGTGCTTCTTGATATCACGGGTTGACGCGTTTGCGGGGCTAACATTCTTACAGCGTGTGCAGTCTTGAGTGTTAACGTGCATACAGTTTACATTGCATATACTCCATACTCCCGCCTTGACCGGCGTGGTGAAGTATGGTCAAATATTCCCCACGACCCGCATGGCGTGGAGAGGCCCCTCATCCATTAGTCGATTAACAAAGCATCACTCGCCTTGTGTGTCTTTCTGACCTTAATAGGTTCTCGCTAACAGTACTTGCCTAGTAAAATCTATTCACACCTAAGTGGCTGCGGGGGGAGTCTCTTAATATCATATACAATTATGAAGTACGTCAGCTGCGCGGGGTGTGTTGCATGCCTTTATTCCAGGACTGCGGAGGCGGGGGTTGATGTGTCGTACAAATCTTACCAAACACTGCGTGGGTGTTGAGCTACCACCCCTTGGCTTGCCAGGAGGATGCGGTACAGAAAACTGTGGATTGATCTCCCAACCATTATATCTGAATGGGATCGAGTGTTGCCTCCTCGCACGCATGGGTTTTCTCTGGGTCCTCCTTTTTGTTCTCGCTGGGTCACCGCCTGGCTGCCATCCCGCTTGTCTGTGGGTCTGCACGCCTCCGACTAATTCGCTTTCTATGAGGGAGCGGATGTTGTGTGCGTTTAAAGTTTAAATTAGAATTTGATTTTATTTTCAATGTACACTTTGTGTATATTATGTGAAGTGTCCTGCTGTTACTACACGTGTACACTGATTAAAGGGTGTTGTTTTTACTTTATTTGCACAATGTACAGTACAGTCTTGATTTGAAGTTTTCGTGACTGCAGGAATCCATTCTTTCGGTAAAGTCACGTAGGTACCACTCGGCCTCGGCAAAGTAAGGTCAAAGGTAACAGGTAAAAACAAGGAGCCTACCTTTACCCTACCTTTTACCCTTACCACAATACAATCACTCTACCATACCTTTTACCCTTCAGCAGGTAAGGTAAAAGGTAAAAAGCAACGAGCCTACCTTTACCCTAACTTTTACCCTTACCCCATACAAATTACCCGATTACAGGGTAATTACTGGGGTACTACTACACATGAAAAAGGTTTATAGCAGGTAAATGCTAGGTAGAGCGCTTTATTCATATACAATACTCTCGATTCTTCCAATTTTACACGCTTTCTTTTAACTCACTCTGTTATCGTTGTATCCTCAAATCTTGTAACTCAATTTTAACCCACTTTCCAATGTGGTATCAACTGCAAACTTGGTATACTTATGTCATACTGATGACAATACTATATTCTATCATAAAAAATATTTTTTTTTACATGTTTCATATGTTATGTTTCGGTTTGGGTATAATTGTCCACGCTCAACTCACGTTGGCTGTAAATCACCACGGTCCCTTACGTTATGGAAAGCTTCGGGGCCACTTCCTGGAGTCGTGGAGTTCTGCTATTACTTGTACATTTCATTAAAGCGTGTTTTAAAAAAAATATATTTTTTAATATTACTTATTAAATGGAGGCCACGGACTGCACCACGGAGCTTTTAGCGGTAAACAAGGTACCGTATTTACCGGGTAATACTTTGCGCTACCTTTACCCTACCGGGTAATTCTTCTGAGCTATCTTGACCTTACCCCTTGGCTTTTCGACACCTTTACCCTTTTACCCAGTAAAAAAGGTAAATAACCTTACCTTGCCGAGGCCTAGGTACCACTCCTTGGCTTGGTTCTCTGGCGTTGATACGCTGACCTCTCACTGTGCAGCAGCCAAGCAGCTTGTGTTGCCCACGAGGTGGCGCTATGCCCGGTCCTCTGACACAGACACGCTATCTTCACTAACATAGCCACCGCTGCCCCCTTTTGCCTCGACGTAACGGTAGCTCTGGCTGTTCAATAGGCTGTATGTCTCTCCCTTTAACGCAGCTGTTGTACGTGCGTGCGGCGACGGTGCTCGTGTGTGACGACGAGGCTCATTTTCCCATTGTGCTCGTTTGCATTAACATGCCAATCCTCCTTTGGCGCAGCTGTTGTGCGTGCGTATGGCGACGGGACTCTTTTTCATCTCTGACCCCGCCTACTTACCCTTGGGTGACACTCACCTCAAACCTATATATAATCTCTTGTTGCAACAGCCCTTTCTTGTTCAGCAGTTCTACGGCTGTATCTTTCTACCTGATGACGATTGCTTGTGTTGCGATCGAAACAATTGCTTGTGTTGCGATCGAAACGTGATGATTTATGATTAACTTTTTCTACCTACGTGACTTTACCGAAATAACCAATGAGAATGTACAGTAGCTCTGTACAAAGTGCTATGTTTACTATCTGTTTTCATGTGTACACACTTATGTATTGCCTTCTCTGTAGTTTACGAGCGTTGAGAAGCATCACGACTTTCCGGGATAAATAATATGTATATGTATTCACATTCTGTACCTTTCTTGGTGTCCCTTGACTGCAGTGCAAAGTCAGACAATCAGCCAGAAGCAATGATTGAAGAGGAGACTGTAACATCCCAACCAGATACAGAGGTATTGCCATTATTTTTCCTTCCTGCATTTTTGCCAAAATTCACAAACAAGTGCATGAAATATGGGTGAGATATGCGTGCATTTGGGTTGAGATGAATGCAATTAGTTGTATCTGCGCACATGCAGGAGGTGAGTGTGGTGGAGGCAACACTTTCTGCAGTGGAGGTTGAAGAGGAGAGGCGGCAGGGCCATGTAGAACTGCAGTGCGGCATCTGTATGAAGTGGTTCACGGCCGAGAGCTTCAGCATTGACACCAGGTAAGCACGCAACCCGCCGTCAGTTACATTGTGTGAAAATGATGTAAAAATTTTTACGGCAGGATGTCTTCTAGCAGCATTTACTTAAGTAGGTAATATCTCTGGATTGGTTTTGACTTTTTCCTGTGTCTTAAACAAATGCTACTCGAAATCATTACCGAATGGCCATAGTAAGATGGACTAAAATTTTGTATTTTTTTTGCATGGTAGAACAAACTCTTGTTGCCAATTGTTTTTGTTTGAAAATGTCTTGAATAGGTGTGTTGTACAACTTTGCACATTTGTTGACGAAGGTTCATCAATGCCATGGATGAGACATGCTTGTTATATTTTAGCCCTTTTTTTCTAATCGGTGACCTTATTTCTCTTCCAACAGCACGTGTGTTCCATTTATCACCAACTATGTGTTTCATTGCAACATTTGCCATCATAGTGGCAACACCTACTTCTTACGAAAACCCGCGAGTAAGTTATTTAACTGCGCATTGTGCAAGTGCTTCAGGGTGTTTTTTGAAATTATTTGGAGTCTTAAGTAAATATAAACGTGCTTCGTGTTTTTAATTGGATTTCTGTTTTGGAAATTCGCTTTTTTTGTGTTGCTCGACATTGCTGTGACTTGGAATTTAGTGAATAACTGTTTAATGTAATTTTTCTAAAGTACATCTAAAGCATTGGCTTGTAGACTTAAATTTAATTCAGAAAATAAAACATTAAAGCTCACTCTATATTTTTTGCAAATGATGCTTTCCTTGTTTAATGATTGTAAAGTCTACTGCATATTTATGCCACATCTAAGTTTTGGTTTAAAGTGGTTATATTGTACCTTGTACTTCTACAGCTCTCAAAGAGATGTGTCTCACTGCACTGGCAAACCTCACATGGACATCACGCATGCAGGACGATCATCCCAAAACAATGTTCTCCAAAGACAAGGTATGTTCTTGACTCTTGTCTTAAGTGCCATCTATGCTGTTGGTGTTTTTCGCCGAGTTAACGTTCATTGCGCCATTGTTGAAATTATGAATTGATTCCATGTCGTGTGCTCCACAGCTATGTGCAACAATGCTTTATGTGTTTCCGATTCTCACGATCCACCAGGACATCATCCCATTCATCGACAGACACTGGGAATGCATGACAACACGGCAACGACCAAACAAGCTCACGTGGCAGAACAACATTGTCAAGACTATGGTAAGGCTGCCACAGGAGGTGGGAAGATAGTGTGTGAAAGTTTTCATAGGTGTGAGGGAGACGAGAGAGGAGAGGAGGAGGGTTATTGTGTAGGACGACTTTCATTTGTAGTACAGTTACTAAAAGAACAGTCACTACACTTGGACACAAAATAAAAAAATGCTTTATGCACACACACGTGGTCACAACACTATACTGTAGTAAACAGTATACGCTCGCACGGATGTTGACTATACGAGTGAGGCACGCCGACTGAGACAGAGCATGGGAGATGATTACCCACATTCCCGCAGCGAGAGAGAGAAAAGAACCATTGGCTCAGTTTGATCACGTGACACTCGGCAGACAAAGCGTATACTGTACGTACTGCTTGTATTGCAAGACATCGCTCGTTTATAAAATTATTATTTATTTAAAAAATTTGCTCGTCTTGCAAAACACTCGCAGACCAAGTTACTCGCAATCCAAGGTTTCACTGTATCTAGGCTGTGTATCCCAGGCTCTCTAACACGGGTTTAAAGCTTCATTATCGAGAAAATTTGACCTTTAGGCACAATAGTGTTGCTACGACATAATCCCATGCATTTGAAAACAGTAACTATCGATCCTTGCCGCTATAGCTATTGGGTCATATCGATACACTCGACTAATTTTAAAACATTTTTTGTCATTAGCAAATCTTTGCATTCATGTAGGAGAGCTGAAATCAGTCAACCTAGGTGATTCGATACGAAATAAGTGCCATTGCATTTCATTGAAAGTAAAAGTTCTCAACTTCTTGAGCTGCGTTGTGCCATAGTTTTTATCTATGCGAAGCCTATTAGCTCCTGAGACACCACTACCAACTCGCTGGTAAACCCAGCTATGCCGAACAAAAGTTTTGGCAGACCTTATCTCCATGGGAGATTTCAACAATAGGGAGTGGTTTCCTTAGGTAGAGGACCTCACCTCATGTTGGCCTTTAAATATGATTACGTTGTTGTGTTTTTCATGTGTGCGTTTGTGTAGACGAAGGAGCGTGATGTATTCCTCGTGAAAGAAAACCCAGATCCAGGAAGCAAGGACTCTCAAGACGAATACCCAAAGTTTGGCCTCTTAGATCAGGTGCCTAATACACAACAACTGACACTGATGAATGTATTGTATGAAAACATAGTCTCATTGACAAATTGTTTCTGCAGCACACAGCAACGTCAATTACCAATGTTCATTTATAAAAAAAAAAATATATGTTTATTTTTTCTTTTCTTTAGGACCTGACTAACATAGGGCCGTCGTATGAAGGTCAGAAGCAGCCTGGGACACCGGCCGCTGCTGCCAGTTCTAATGGTAAAGAATTTACGACTCCTAATAAAGGTATTTTGGGTTAGATTGCATAAGTATGTGTGTCATTAACCTGCCACCACCCGACACAGCCAATTAGTAAGGTTTGTCATGTAAACAACACGTACAAATTAGTTACCACTTCAGCCCACTGACGTTTTGGAGAGTAAATCCACATTTACAATTTGAGTACGCCGTTTCGCTGGTAATTAAATCCAACATCATCAGGCAGTGATGTAACTAATTGACACGTTTTGTTTACGTAACTAACCTTACTAATTGGCTTTGTCGGGTAGTGGCAGGTTAACAACACATTTATACTTCTGCGATCTACCCCAGAAAACCTTTATTATGAATAATATTGGTCACGAAAGCCTGCGTGTCAAATTTACAACTAGTCCATGAATATGTACACCAGAGTTGTATGTATAAAATGCCATCCTTTTTTTCAGCACCCACACATACAACAGGTTAGCTACGAATATAAAGAAATAGGTGAACTTGACGTGAGGCTGTTATGTACCAGGTGGCTTCGGGATCAGTGGCAGCGGCAAAGGACGCGGCGCAAAGCGGAGGCAAGAAGGCGTCACCCCGCCGACGGCTAAGCGCACCCGACAGTGAGTTGCAGCTGTCGCACGAAACCATTAATTTGACTCGATGTGATCATCATAAACCGGTATAGGAGAGATAAGAAAACATTGTGTGTGTTGCGGATGATTGCATGATTCTATTGTAGTTCAACTTAGTCCCTCGTTCCTCCAGGGTCAAAATGTTGTGGAATGTCAAAAGTTGTTGGTTGTACTCTAGGTTGACTCGCTCCATCGGAATGTAGAATATACACAAATGTTTCATGGTTGTTCACAAGGGATTAGAGCCACCCAAGCTTACTTGATCAGTAAACCACCTTGAGTCACTATCAGAGATCACAATCACTAGTCTCACTTTCTGATATTGCCCTGCTCTTCATCAGGTCAAAGCGGGTAAGGGTGATACCATTTAATTTCATCGATATATACTGCAATAACCCACCATCTGTTATACATGAAGGGCAGATGATGAACAGTTTAGTTGGGTGTCAGTTGACGGCACATCATCTTCAGGTTTTGCAAAATATACCAGTTTGTCAAAAACATAAACACAAAATTGGAAACAACGTAATCACGTGACTTCTGGAATAGTAAGCCGCTTCCATAAAATTCGTCTTCTGGAACAGCGTGGAAGCAGTCGGCTTTGCTGCATGCCTTTTTCCGGAAGCTGAACAAATGTCGTTTTCAGCATGGAAATCTTATAGAAGAGGAAGTGAGAATAGGCAGACGAGAGGAGAACGAGCTGTGGGGGGCACCGCTGCCGGCTGGATCGCCGGCTGCCTGGAAGTTTGCAATATTTCTATCAATGCGGCGTATTGTCTTGCGCAGTGACCCGCTGTTCCAGTCACAACGCCTGCCCCCCCACGGCTACCCGCTGGAGCATCCCTTCAACAAGGACGGCTACCGTTATGTGCTGGCGGAGCCTGACCCCCACGCGCCTGACCCCGAGCGGGTAGAGCTGGACTCGTGGGCCGGAAAGCCGATCCCCGGGGACCTGTACCGCTCGTGCCTCTACGAGCGTGTGCTTCTCGCACTGCACGACCGCGGTGAGACGTGCACATCGGGCACGCACAGATTTACCACCCTCTCCCACGGACAACCCACGGTTTGTCATGAATTGGGGTCGCGATTTGACTCGAGAATCGACTGTCTCGGTCTGTTGTTTTGACTCTCATTTGTGTTTCTTATTTTTGTGTGCCCTTTCTACAGTTTAGTTCTTCCCATTAGCCTATATGTAATTATTAATGTTACATAAGTGAATCTGCATTTATAAACCCCGTTGATATATGTTTTGTGTTTTTGGATTGTTAGCGCCCCAGCTTAAAATTTCCGATGACCGGCTGACGGTGACGGGTGACAAGGGCTACTCGATGGTGCGCGCCTCGCACGGTGCGCGCCGCGGGGCCTGGTACTTCGAGGCTACGGTGGACGAGATGCCCACAGGAAGCGCTGCGCGCATTGGCTGGTCACAAAGCCTCGGTAAGATGCTTTGCAACAACCCTCACAGCACTCGTTCACTAACACACGTCTGCTGAGGAGCGCTACCATAACAGCCACGTGGAACAATCCCCTGGTATTGTGTAATAATAGTATAATTACAGACCTTGGTTAATCCACTGCTGGATAAAGGCAATACATAATGCTCGTTCGACTTGATGCCCAGTGTTTCACTCTTTAAGTGTTGGCAGCAGCTTCAGGAACTGAAGTGAGCCGCTCACTTTCTCGCTCGCTTGATTGCTCGACACTATATATCTTTGTCAATGAGCGTCAGTATGCTTGAGGGGATTTCTTTGCATGTGAACGAGTCGCTTTGTGTTTGCATGTCTAAGTGTAGGAGTGTGTGTGTGTGTGAACACCTATTCATTATATGCACCACTGTTGTTCATCAGCTGTGCCACCTTGTCATTCGTTCATAATGCCAAGGCTACACTTTGACACTTTATTTTGCTTCTGTGTGTCTGCACTATACATGACCATCTGGATTCGATTTTGTCAGAAATAGAATTTGTATTACAAAAAAAAATGCAGTTGCTGATACGTATTGTAACAGCAGCTAAAACGAGCCTCCCACCAACCAAGGCTGAACTAACCATTGCTGACAGGGAACCTGCAGGCTCCGCTCGGCTACGACAAGTTCAGCTACTCGTGGCGCAGCAAGAAGGGCACGCGTTTCCACCAGTCGCGCGGGCGACACTATGCCGACGGCTACGCGCAGGGCGACACGCTCGGCTTCTTCATCTCGCTACCCGAGCATACGCACACGGCCACCTGCCTGCCCGACACGTACAAGGACAAGGTACGGTCACGGGAGGGCGAACGCCGGTAGAGCACGGGGGCCACTCGGCTGTCTGATAACCATGCGCATTCAACTTGGACCTGTCACTCAAAACGCAAGGTGAATTTGAACTGAAATGACCGGATCACAAACATTGCTTCATTAGACTCCGTTGGTGGACATATTCAGTGTTTACACTGTGCTTGCATCCGCCTTGCGGACATGAGCATAATTTATACAGTGAGGGAAAAAAGTATTTGATCCCCTGCTGATTTTGTACGTTTGCCCATCGACAAAGAAATGATGTCTATAATTTTAATGGTAGGTTTATTTGAACAGTGAGAAACAGAATAACAACAACTAAATCCAGAAAAACGCATGTCAAAAATGTTTTTAATTCATTTCATTTTAATGAGGGAAATAAGTATTTGACCCCCTCTCAATCAGAAAGATGTAGGGCTCCCAGGTGTCTTTTATACAGGTAACAGGCCCAGATTAGGAGCACACTCTTAAAGGGAGTGCTCCTAATCGCAGCTTGTTACCTGTATAAAAGACACCTGTCCACAAGCAATCAATCAATCAGATTCAAAACTCTCCACCATGGCCAAGACCAAAGAGCTCTCCAAGGATGTCAGGGACAAGATTGTAGACCTACACAAGGCTGGAATGGGCTACAAGACCATTGCCAAGCAGCTTGGTGCGAAGGTGACAACAGTTGGTGCGATTATTCGCAAATGTAAGAAACACAAAATAAGTGTCAATCTCCCTCGGCATGGGGCTCCATGCAAGATCTCACCTCGCGGAGTTGCAATGATCATGAGAACGGTGAGGAATCAGCCCAGAACTACACGGGAGGATCTTGCCAATGATCTCAAGGCAGCTGGGACCATAGTCACCAAGAAAACAATTGGTAACACACTACGCCGTGAAGGACTGAAATCCTGCAGCGCCCGCAAGGTCCCCCTGCTCAAGAAAGCACATATACATGCCCGTCTGAAGTTTGCCAATGAACATCTGAATGATTCAGAGGACAACTGGGTGAAAGTGTTGTGGTCAGATGAGACCAAAATGGAGCTCTTTGGCATCAACTCAACTTGCCGTGTTTGGAGGAGGAGGAATGCTGCCTATGACCCCAAGAACACCATCCCCACCGTCAAACATGGAGGTGGAAACATTATGCTTTGGGGGTGTTTTTCTGCTAAGGGGACAGGACAACTTCACCGCATCAAAGGGACGATGGACGGGGCGATGTACCATTAAATTTTGGGTGAGAACCTCCTTCCCTCAGCCAGGGCATTGAAAATGGGTCGTGGATGGGTATTCCAGCATGACAATGACCCAAAATACACGGCCAAGGCAACAAAGGAGTGGCTCAAGAAGAAGCACATTAAGGTCCTGGAGTGGCCTAGCCAGTTTCCAGACCTTAATCCAATCGAAAATCTGTGGAGGGAGCTGAAGGTTCGAGTTGCCAAACGTCAGCCTCGAAACCTTAATGACTTAGAGAAGATCTGCAAAGAGGAGTGGGACAAAATCCCTCCTGAGATGTGTGCAAACCTGGTGGGCAACTACAAGAAACGTCTGACCTCTGTGATTGCCAACAAGAGTTTTGCCACCAAGTACTAAGTCATGTTTTGCAGACGGGTCAAATACTTATTTCCTTCATTAAAATGCAAATCAATTTATAACATTTTTGACATGCATTTTTCTGGATTTTGTTATTCCGTCTCTCACTGTTCAAATAAACCTACCATTAAAATTATAGACTGATCATTTCTTTGTCAGTGGGCAAACGTACACAATCAGCAGGGGATCAAATACTTTTTTCCCTCACTGTAAAAACAATTATGTTCAAATTTTTATGAACTGATAATTATGGCCTTGTCAACAGGCATTAATCAAGTTCAAGAGCTACCTGTACTTTGAAGAAAAGGACTTTGTGGACAAGGCAGAGAAAAGCCTCAAGCCAGCACATGACAGCAAGGTGGACCCATGTTTCTTATTTGTTTTTTTTTAAATATGCTAGTCAGAAGCCATGCATAATCACTTTATTGGCCTGGCTGTATGTGTGCTGCAGGTGGTGTTTTACAAGAATGGAATCGGGCAGGGCACTGCATTTGAGGACGTCTATGAAGGAGTTTACTTCCCGGCTGTCTCCCTTTACAAAAGCTGCTCGGTGCGTTTGCAAAAAATCATCACGTCATCGGTTCAAGGGTGTTTATATTTGACCACCGTGTTTAACCACTACTCCTCTACCATTTCATCTGTTGCAGGTGTCTGTTAACTTTGGACCAAACTTTAAGCATCCTCCTAAGGATGTGACCTATCAACCCGTGAGTATTTTTTTTTTAAATCTAATTTTCCACACGTTAGCTCGACTCCTCTTATACTAGTACGCAATAAACCTGGCACACACTTTGTTTATTTCAGATGAGCGACATGGGGTGGTACGCCGTTGTGGAACACACGCTCTCTGACCTGCTGTACCATGTGGAGACGGACGTGGAGGGTAGGCAGAGTCCACCTTGGGACCTGTGAGCTACCGCTCGCTTAGAACATCCACCTACACCTGTAACTGCCTCTTTGACTTGCACTCTATGGGCATGCCCGTTGGTCCCGCACATGCTGCGCATAGAGCGGTGCACATTAGTCTTTTGCGCACTCGTGCGATTGTGTGTGTGTGTGTACACTTTTCTTTCCATGTGTCTGTAATGTGTACAACATAGTCGTCCTATGAAAGAAAACTTTTGACTTGCGCAATGTGACGTGACGGCACTTGTCGAGAATACGTCAAAAGAGATGGTGGTCAAGTTTTGCATTTTGATTTAAAGCTTTCGTGACTGCAGGGATTCATATTCTTGGTTCTTTCGGTAAAGTCACATAGAAGGGAAATAAAAATAATAATAAAAATATAAAAAATAATCACGGTTTCGACTGCAACACAAGCAATCATCATCGGGTGTGAAAACCACAGCAAATTTTCTTGCTGTGAGAATTTTATTGTTTTAGATTTGTATTATTTTATTGTTTCCCTTCTACGTGACTTCACCGAAAGAACCAAGAATAAGTATTGCATTGTTCATGATGAGAATTACAATGCGTTTTTGGTAATGACTGTTTAGCCTTTTCTAAGAGAGGGCATTTTTTTAGTTGCAGTAATTTCCTTCAAACAGGCTATAAACCAAGAAAAGATGTAAGAGTTTTTTTTTGCAATCTAGCACTTAAAAACTGACACCAACTTGAATGCAAATTTGTATAATATTTTAATATATTTTTTATAGAATAGAAAACTAAGAAATCTATCAGCAGCCATTTTACGGTCACAATATTAAGTATTTTTGTGATGTGCTGCATTTTTAGCACCTTTTTGTAACGTGTGGAGTTTTAAATCTCCCATGTTTATATATACATCTTTGTTGTTAAAATGGAACACCCTTTTTGCGACTGAATATATATGAATTAAACAGCAGCTTTTTCAGAGCTTTTAAATTAATTCCACTTATCCAACAAATGCTTTTAACGTACAGTGTACCTGGCACTTGCATACAATTGTAGCCTCTATTTTGAAAAATGTCTCTCATTATAATTTTTAAATCTCACCATGGTCGTTGTGTTTACGTGGTGTCTTGACTCTGCATGCGTGTTCAGACTTTGTATTGTCTTGTACATTTGTTCAAAGCATTCAAACTGAAGAATTTACTACTCGCGTAAGACTGATTTTATAAGCCTCAGCAGCACCCACAGCATTCATTACCTTCAGGTATTTCTTCTGGATGCCAATATGCTGTACAGAGAATCAATTCCCTTCAAGGCTGCCCAACCTCCACATCTTACCTATAAAAGAGTGTGGTTGTGCTTTCCTTGCTTCATGTGCATAGAACCGGGATGAATGCACGCGAGCTATTTTAGGTAAAGTATTGCCATTCCCTACCATATGTCCCGTGCACAGGTTTAAAGGGTCTATCTCATAGCCTTGGCTGCCATGGGAATGTGCAGCGGAATCTTGATGTTTTCATGCTGCTGAGGTGGGGAGGAGGCAATGAGTGCTGTGGGTAGGAGTGCCAAGGCCTACAAAAAAAATATTTATATAAATACTTCATAGAGGTACAGTCTGGCAACATCCACAGTATCCACTGTTAGGTATCTCCACCCAAGCAGTGCATTGGAGACAGTGGTGGGCTCACTGGGATACCGAGGATTGCACCGCCCTCTCAAAAACTGTGTTGGCAGATGCTCGGACATTACAATCTGTAGTGCCTCTTAAAGGTGACTGGCACAGCTCAGGTGGCTGCCCTACAAGTGGTTGAATTACTGCACGAGGCATTCGGGAGGTGGTGGGCCTTGTGCTTCGGCCAACCACCGAACCCGCGATCAACAGACCAGTGACTTAGCTGGTCGATGTCTGTGTCGACCACGAACTTCTCGGCCCCTGAGATGTCTTAAAAGGAACTGCCGTGTAACCGGCCGTCCAACTTTGGGGGGGGCACAATGCTTCCACTATAGATCCAATAAACCAAACCATGAGGGCATCCGTTTAGGCTCCCATATCGGCAGTCTGCGTCATGAATGTGCTTGAACTCGTGTGTTCAGACGGATGGCCTCATTAGCATTTTCGAGACCATTGCCGTATCCACCACTGGAACAGTCGAAATCAAGGACTAGCTGAGAGACCCAGAGCTGAGAGGCTGACCAACACTTGGGCGTCGATATACACGAGCAGTTGAGCGTTTAAATTCCAGACTGGAACACTTCGATTCGAAAGTGAGATGGTGAATCTAGTTCCATCATGTAACCATGCATTCCAGGAATGTATGTTGAACTTCTTTCGCACCGTACGTAGCCAACTGTGGTTAATTTGAGGTGCGGGGGAAATGTATGTCCTGCTATGAAATGGGCAAACAGCAACTCGGAGATGTGCACCCGGTAATGATTGTTAGGAAACATTCAGCTGTTTTGAAAGCCATTCTGGCAAGCACATTATTGAAGTGCAGGTGGGCAATGGTCTCAATTTAAACACTGCCATTGCTCGTTTTATGTTTCTGCTGCAATTGGGTTTCGGCAAGAATCAGGCTTTCCAAGCACTTACAGACGTCAAAGCAATTGGCTCAGAAAGCGCAAAGTTATCCAGCACATCAAACACTGCTGATCATCCCGAGTATTGCATCTTTAATGTGTGCACAAAGTCGCTCGTGAATCTCGGCTGGCTTTGATGCCTTCGCACACAATACACTTGATTCTCTATTCTTTGTTCTCCTGCTGGGCTAGTGGCCGTATTGTCTCTCATTGTGCATGCACTCGAGGAACCTCTGCCACCTGGTGACCATTCTCAAAAGATCCACTCTCCCGCCCCCACCACGGCCGCCGCAACATTTTGTCATTGCCATCCGTTGTCCACCTACAAAGTCCGGGAATGACTTAAACCACCGTTGTATTATAACATTGTCAATTCACTTTTTATTAACCACGCAATCTTTGTCATTTGCATGCTAATCAAAAAGGTAACTTTTTAACGTTAATCTCCTACTTGGCTCACTGTGGCTCAGTTAAATTTTGACTTAAAACTTGATTTTCTATCTACGTGACTTTACCGAAACAAGCAAGAATATGTAGCTCGGTTCCCTCATTAGGATTATTCAAACTGGTAATGATGGCATTTGTACATTTGTAGGCTTGCGTTTCATTGGTAAGCTTGCTGAAAATGGGCTGTAATAGTTTGCAGCCTGTAAAGTACATTTCACCATTTTTGGTACTCTGTGCAAGGCTATGACTTTGGTTTGGTGATCATGGAAATCGTGGATTTTGATGAAGTTCGTGAAATATTGGAAATCCCTGTTGAAACAAATTAGAATGGGTGCTTAATTTATTTCCTTCTAAAAACGTCATACAACATGCTCTTAAAATACACATTAGTATGTCAGCGCATTATGTACAAAAGGCGCTCTAGTTTTTTTTTACAATATAAACCAGGCACCCCTTCTTTTATTCCACCTGAATAAAAAAGTTGGAAAAAAACTTGAATTAGCTCCTTGTTTTAGTTTAAATTATTTTTAAATAAAATATTTTACATGGAACGCCGTCTCACTTGATTCCATGACCATTAAGTTATTGTCTTTTCCGAACCTTGGCAGTGAATTTAACAAAAATTGAAACGCCAAAATAAGCCTTAGCTCAGTGTAATAGAACATGTGAGCAATCAAAATAAATTTACTTAAGTTAATGTGTTAATTTATGTCATTGAATGCTATTTTGTAATTACCTCACATTTACACAAACGATAGTTTAATATCCAAATGTAAATTGTTTAGAAGGGGAATCAAAATAACTACACCATACATATAGGCTTACAATTGTTTAATTACTGTAAACATAAATAAGTATTTAAAACGAATGTTTCATGTTACAGCATGTGCTGCTGACATTGCACAGTACTTGAACGTCACGATATTGTCTCTACAGCGAGCTGCAGAAAACCTCTGAAGTTGTCACGTGAACTGTTATTATTGTTTATGAAGGCACGTTCTGTGTCCCTTGGTTTAAGTGTGGTGACCAAAGGGGCCGTCCATAAATGACGTCACGCGATTTGGACGATTTTCGACCCCCCCCCCCCCCCTCGTCACAAGGCATCACAAAGTCAGACTCCCCCCTCAAATGACGTCACAAAGCTCTGCCTTCCCCAAAAAATAAAACATGCTTCAAATCGCTTTAAACTATTGTCATTGTAGTGCGTATTTAATGTGGCGCTGCACTCTGATGTTGTAGGAGAAAACATGAAAAAGTATATTTAATTAAGTAGAACGTGTATATCTATATTTATTTAAATTTGCGCATTTTGATGTGACGTCACGTTTCTCAAACCCCCCCCCCCGCCCCCCCTCGTCACACATCCTCACAAATGTCTGACCCCCCCCACCCCCCTAGGTGCATGACGTCATTTATGGACGGCCCCAAATCTCCATTTCCTGCCAAGTGTTTCGTATCAAATACATTTTGTCACATCATAATTAGGGCTCTTTGTAAATCGGCGGTTCTCATCGCATTGGGGATCCGTACGCCTGGGGGACATTAAAGCCGTTCAGGGGGGAGCACGAGCTGCGGCATGGATACCGTTCAGGAGAAATGTTCAATGCGCGAGTAATGATGTCTCCGCTACGTTGCAGCGCTAAAACAATCATACTCAAAGCACGTGCCTCATTAACACTTGACTAGAGGCGTGGATATCTTTCTTATGGCCTTAGTAACCTGGAGGGTGTGGGGGATTTTGCTGCCATACCAACAAGGTTGAGAAGCACTCTTATAAAGATGCATTTCCTTAATATATTATACCGTAAATGCACTTTAAACGTTTAAACATAGGTCTCGTTTTAAAATGTACCATCATAAAATCCATTGAAGCATTTGACACCTACATTCGTATTCGCCCTCAGTCGCCGGTATAGAACCTGAATTGTTTTCATTTCAGTCGCATACCTCAACCTAGTAAACCCCCCCCTACGAATTTTTTATCAGGATTCTTTGAATGAGACCATTCTGAAATCGATCCAAACTTTGTTTCTGAGCCAAGTTTTTTTTTTCAATTTGTAAAATTGCTGGCAGAGTAAGAAAGCCAACCAAAATTTGTTTTGCCCGAGATCGTTTTATACAAACCTCTTTTAGTCACAAACCACATATATCCCAACAGGCTTGTGGTGGTGTAGTGCTCTACATCATTTCCATTATGACCCGGTAGGACCCCTCAAACACGGCCCACGAGATGATGGAGCCCAGGCAATGCGCGGTAACGCCGCGGTAGAGCCGCCTGGTCCCCTGCCGCCACACCACGTCGCGTGCAGTGGCCAGGAAGCCCAGATGATGCCTCTCGATGCGGGCCTGCATTTGCACCTTGACGGTGTTGAGCGGGTAGAAGGCGAGGCCCGTGAGCAGGGACGAGAAGCCACCCATGAACGCACCCTCCAGAAAAGTGCTGCGGCCTCGAACGGAGGCGGGCACGAGCAGCGTGACGCTGTCCTGTGGTGTGGAAAACCGAGCAGAGCCGCGGTTTCTTGGCGTCTGCTCTGTTGGTTGTTTCGGTGGGTGTGTCGCCATGCCAAAGTTAATGTAAATGTGCGGGCCTGCAATTGCTTGCTCGCACCGGTGCTTGCGGAAGGGCCTCCGCTAGCAGCGGCTCTCGTGGATACGTGGCCTACTCTTCCAGAATAGCCAGATGTTGTACAAGAGGTGGCAGCACCCACGGTTTACACGACCCAACTGGCGTACCCAATTAAACTGCTGGGTGGTCAGGCGAGGGAATTTAAGAAACCTGCCCCATTGTTCCAACTGCCACGCCAGAAGAATTAACCGGTGATTTCTGTAATAGAAATCTAGTGTGCTAGCCATTACATCATAACAGGATCCTACAATAGATGACAACACAAAAAGCACAGGTAAAGCAAGTACATGTCACCAGAATATGTAGCTAAAAAGGTCAATCAAATGGGCTGCACCAGGGACAATGGCAGGAAATATCCTTGAAGGGTTGGTCAAATATAAGAAAGTGTTTAAGTTGTTGTACAAGTAGGAATGGGATAGATTGGAACTTAATAAACATTGCTATTCAAATACTAGAACTTTGTTAAGAGTTGATTAAATGCTAGCACAAATTATATAATGACCATAAACTACAATAATGTAAAAATTTTATTTAAAGCTTTCGTGACTGCAGGGATTCATATTCTTGGTTCTTTCGGTAAAGTCACGTAGAAGGGAAACAATAACAATACAAATATAAAACAATAAAATTCTCACGATGTTTCGACTGCAAAACAAGCAATCATCATCAGGTGATGATGATTGCTTGGTTTTCACACCTGTGGTTTTCACACCTGATGATGTTGCAGTTGATGTTGCAGTCGAAACGTGAGAATTTTACTTTTTATATTTTTATTATTTTATTGTTTCCCTTCTACGTGACTTTACCGAAAGAAGCAAGAATACAATAATGTAGTTAAAAAAGAGGCTTTAAATGCTGGGCAACATAGACTAGTTAGTGGGCAACATGAGCGGCCCTCCTTCACCTCAGCGAGCCGCAAGTTTGATTTCACACTCGTACACTAATAAATGAAACAACGTACCACCCTTGACACCGATACCCAAGCCACCTGCAGCCTGCAGGTTGCCCACCACTCGTTTAAATACAGCAAAGCTGCGTATCAAGTTGCCACACAATGTGTGGACAACGCATTGGGGTAACGGGGCTCCACTGAGCAGGCGCTCACACACCTTGATATACAAGTAGAGGGCGAAGCTGGGTCCGTTTCGGAGCAGTACGGGCGTGAGTCCGACGTACAGCTCGCGCAAGCCCAGCGTGCCGAGGTGCGAAAGAGCGGAGAAGGAGTGCCGGAAGGCGTGCTGCCCGCGGGTCTGCGGATTCACCAGCAGAGTCTGCACCCTCTCGAGGGGTGTGAGCACGGCCTCCAGCGTTCCGGAGAGCAGGGCGGCCAGGGAGCAGGCCAAACGGCTCCGGTCGGTCAGCCTGGGCCCCATGTGGGCCAGCTTCCCCAGGACGAACTCGTAGTTACCGTACATTATCGAGCGGCAAAGCACGCGCTGTTTGGTGGGGGATACACGGAAGACACGCGAGGCCAATTGGTGCATAGCACCACTGCATGGTATTCTACGCCTTATTGTAAATACAGAATGCAATGTTACTCAGTTTATGACAGTTAAGGTTGTGATGGCTATAATGGAAATCATCTCAAAATGTACATGCTATTGAATGTCCAACCTGGTGGAAATTGATATGCAGCTGTAGCTATCGGAAACAACAAGATGAGGTTACTGAGATGAGGCTACATTTGTCTTAAGGTCGACATTATTTTAAAAATAATGCTGATTCTGGTTTTATGACATTTGGAAATATCAAAGGATGGACTGAAAGGTAAGTGATTATAATTTAGACTGAGCACTTTGGATTATAATGTACAACCATAATTTATGGCTTCTGAAAACTATAGTGTTTGTTCACGATACTTTTGATTACATCACTTATGTGTAAGGAAGACAAACCAAAAAACATATCTCTCATAGATACATACCGAGGCTGTCCCAGTTTATCTGGCATAGGTTTTTAAACAAGACTAGACACATGGCATTGATACCACAGGGACATTACTCCAGTGTGTCTTTAAATCACTTTAAATATTTAACATTTTATGCCGTACAGCTCTGACAACAGCCCGAGAGACATAGCTGATGATGCTGCTGGTGGTGGCAGTGATACCACCACGTCCACCTCTTTCTTACCTGCAAACTGGGAGCCAAGAGTCCACGCAGCAGCAAGGACTTCAGGCCCTCGCTTAGCAGCTGCGCCAACACCGGCCGTGCCGAGAGACTCAGGGCCATCTGTTGCCGAGTGCTCGCCTTGAAGATGGGGAAGGTGAGGGCCGTGCTGACGAGAACGCTGGCCGAGCCGGCCAGAGCTCCACTCTGATAGGAGCGGAGTGGTAAGCTGGCCCACAAACTGGTCTTGGCGTTTGTTGGCGTTACGGAGTCCTCCATCACCTACAGAGCACGTTGAGATTGTTTTTTCAGAAACACGTGTTTTGGTGGTACCTTCGCTGGTGTCACACCACCACGGCAGTGTATATCAGGAAGGATGTCGTGGACAATGGGACGCATTCTTTTACCGCAGTAGAAGCGGGATATAAGCACACATGATACCAGCACAGTTTTGATATAAGCGACGTATGTTTTTGTCGCCCCCCCCCCCACCGCACCTCCGATTAGCACGGTTGGTTACGTACGGTGCGAAAGAAGTTCAACATACATTGTATTGGTAGGGGGAAGGTGATGGACAACTTGTGATAAAGCACACTTCGGATATAAAACAAAGACGTCACGTTCATCAATACAACTGCTGTAAAAGGAAAAAGAAGGTAATTGCTCAAAACATCATCTATTATATATTTCCATGCCTCTCAACCCTCTTCATTATAACTGCCGGCCTGAAGGTTCAGTGTCAGTTTCCCAGGTGAATTCTTGCTATGCTGAGATTGTGCCGGCTGAGCACTCGATCTACCATGAGGTCAATGGTCCTTGTATCTAACTGCAGCTTTGCATCGGTTAACAAAAAATTACGTTAAAGAACATGTAAAATAAACTCCTTGGAGACATCCGTTTTCAAGGAAGTTTGAGCTGCATTTATCCGAACGTATACAAAATGTGAGCGTAACGACTGCCACGCTGATGATGGCTTTCTTCAGCCCCGGTGGTTTCCACTCAGTCCGAGTCTTTAACAGCCAACCCCGATGGTTTCCACTGTCAGATCTCGAACATTCGGCCTCGATGTCGCCCACCTCTCTGGTCGTCGATTAGTCCCCTGAACAACCGCCCGGTCAGACCGCGTGTGCCTCGCTCGGGCCCGGCCCTATCGGCCAGGGGGCCCCCCACTTTGTGTCCAGCCAACGCGTGTCCAGCCACCTGTTTTCAACCATCTCCTCAACTCGCCCTTCCAGAACCTTCTCTTGTACACTCCCCTACACGTACATAGGGTTTGATGAAAGGTTTGATGAAAGTAAGTAGAACCTCGTCATTTCGGTATTTGATCGTAATTGGGGATAATTTGGCACGGCTGCGCTTTAGGCATATCTACAGGATAAACGTCGCTATTATGTACAATGGGGAGTACCTTTGTACATAATTCGGAATATTGAATAATTCGGCAAGGCCAGAGGCCCATATGTGTCTCAATTAACAAGGGTTTACTGTAGTTCTACTTACCTGCCCGTGCTTCATTTGCGTTTCGATTATTTACCTTCTAAAAAAAATATGCCCATGTTTCGCATCCCCCAGAAAGGGCATCTCGCAGCTCCCAGGGGGGTGGTGGGGGGGGGTGAAGAACCACCGCATCAAGTGGTGGCGAGTTCAAATCCCAGTCGGCTTAAGTCACATCGTCATCCAGAAGTTGGGCTGATGAGACGAGGGTGGTCACTTGTTGGGAATGCAACAGTGGTGGTTGTGTTCTCTGGATACAGTGTCCGTTGTCGTGCGAATGAATCATTGCCACCATTGGTATTTTAGGGCTGCCAACAGAGGCCCTCGTTGACACTTCGAGGCTTTGCATGACCGCGTTATTTGTGTGCAAGACTCGATAGAGACTTCGTCGTCTGCCCATTTTGGCACACACACACACACAGAGCAACGCAGCCTTGTTGCACCTCGTTCAGGCCTTCCGTGGAACCGAGAGCTCTGTTGTGCACTCTCCAAATCCACCAGCTGGTGCCACGGCAAGTCAACACACAAACTCTGCGCTGTCATCTTCTTTGGTTCTTTCGGTAAAGTCACCACGTAGAATGAGAATAAAATAATAAAATAACACAATAAAATTCTCACGACGTTTCGGCCACAACATAAGTGGCCTTCTTCAGGTGAAAGGAACAAACCTGTCGGGACGACAGAGCTACGTCGTGAGAATTTTGTTTTATTTTATTATTTTATTCTCTACGTGGTGACCTTACCGAAAGAACCAAAGAAGATGAATCCTTGCAGTCACGAAAGCTTTAAATCGAAATTTCTGCGCTGTTACTTAACACGGTCTACACACAACAATGAATGCGCACTTCCACTCAGGATTGCATATCTGAAGGAGATGCGGATTCATTATGCAAGCCCACTGCGAGAATTAAAGTATGGTAAAAAAACACAGCAATTGCGTGCACACGTTGCATGCTAATGATGGCAGTGCTGTTTGTTACTGAGCTGTTAACGTATTGTGGCCATTAAGAGTTGTGGACAGGCTGTCATCAGATCAGAGATAATGGCGTGCAATTATAGAGCAGCTATGACACATGGAGAAAGCAATAACATTAAAGCACATACACAGCATCACACTAAACACATCTTAAGTGTCTGCAAATGATGTATGTTGAACTTCCAAACCTGTCAACCCCTTATCACTGCCCTACCTTATTACAGACCAATTCAAACTTTATTGATCACCCCGTGCCCTTCTAAATCTCAACGTTCATCCTACAAAGTCCCATCACAAGGGAGAAACACAAACAAATAGGCAAAAAACATTTTTTCGTGCCCGTATTAAAACGGCTGTGCGCCGTATGGACATGAAAACTCAATTTTCCTGCACAAGAATACGGGGTAAACCGTACGAGCTCACAGTTGATTCGAAGCTTTCGTGACTGCAGGAATTACGCTTTGTTTTTTTTCGGTAAAGTCACGTATGAATAAGAAATAATAAAATAATAGCGTACGACGTTTCGGTTGCAACACAAGCAGCCATCATCAGGTACAGAAGAGCTAAATTTAAGAGAGAGGGGAAACACATAACCCCAGATGTATACACAGACACCCAAGTAGGGGGAACTAACACAGATACAACAGGGGACACAGAGAGAGAAGCATACCAGACAGAGTTTAGCAAAATTTGGAAACCATATAAAGCAACACAGACGGTCGGTCAAAACACAATTAACGCATAGTCTGGTTGATTACGCTATTTCAAAGATTGCTAAATTGCAAGTTAAGTATGAAATTTAAAATTTAGCTCTTCTGTACCTGATGATGGCTGCTTGTGTTGCAACCGAAACGTCGTTACGCTATTATGTTATTTTTTTATGATTTTTTTTATTTATACGTGACTTTACCGAAATATCCAAAGAGTTGTGAACATCTTTCACACCGTACGTAGCCAATCGTGATAATCGGATGTGCGGGGAGATGGTTCAACACGCTAAAACGATGTGTACTGTGTTAATTTGTACTGCCTCCAAGACACACACACAGGGCAGACACAAACACCCAGTGTGCATTAACAGACACGTGGACATTGCATGGGCCACACAGATACTCGCACGCACACTGATACATAAATTATGCATAAAGCACAATTAACCAACCCCCAGCACCACCACCACCACCTCACAGTGGTTAATCAATAACATTTGTGGGCCCTTTTAAATAAATACATCTATGATAAATATGAAATGGAGGTTGCAGGAAATGGCCCGTTATTTCATAGCACATTGCTTTGCCCCAATACATTTCTGCAGTGTAAATGACACCGCCGAATGGGAGTACAGATTTGTATTGTTTTGACTGTAACTAGATCATGGCACTTGCACTGGATAGACAAACATACGTATCACATGTACACGCATGTGCATGTACACGCATGTGCCGATACATGCATGTACACAAGGTGTAGTTACATCGCACATGCACTTTACTGGATATATACACACGACACATTTCCGTATACACACACGTATGTGTGTATATACACATACGTGTGTGTATGTACATATCCATGTGTGTGTGCCTGTATACATATGAACATGCATTAAGGAATTGAGACATATATGTCCTATACACGTGTATGTCTGCATGTACTCGTGTTCATTCATACAGTTCCATGAGACATTTGCTGGATACACACACACGCACGAAATTTCCTAAACAACGCATGAACGTTATACCCATATTAGATGTACTGTATTGTTGAATTTCTTTCGCACCGTACGTAGCCAACCGTGCTATAATTCTATATTATAGTGCTCACACGCATATACACTATATATACACTGTATACGCGCTACGTACTCATTTTGCGTGCTGTGTTAACATCGCTACCATTCATGTCGCTCTGTCACGCAAATAGCCACGCATTCCGTACACACGACTTGCACGGCACCGGCGATTACAGTAAATAGTACACACACACACATCGCTACAGCACACACACACACATCGCTACAGTTCGTACACACACACACACGTACGTTAAAGTGAGACGTGGTTTGTAATGACTTACAATACGGAGGCGTAAAAAATACGAACGTGAATTGTCCTTTGTCTTTGCGTGGATGAACGTCCCAGCGGTGGTGGTGGTGGTGTGGACAGGCAGCCGAAGTGGTGGCGATGGCTATGGTCAGTGTGTGATGGTGGTGATGGTCAGTGAGTGATGGTGGTGATGGTCAGTGTGTGATGGTGGTGAGGGTCAGTGAGTGATGGTGGTGATGGTCAGTGAGTGATGGTGGTGAGGGTCAGTGAGTGATGGTGGTGATGGTCAGTGAGTGATGGTGGTGATGGTCAGTGTGTGATGGTGATGGTTAGTGAGTGATGGTGGTGATGGTCAGTGTGTGATGGTGGTGATGGTGATGGTCAGTGTGTGATGGTGGTGATGGTCAGTGAGTGATGGTGGTGATGGTTAGTGAGTGATGGTGGTGAGGGTCAGTGAGTGATGGTGGTGATGGTTAGCGAGTGATGGTGGTGAGGGTCAGTGAGTGATGGTGGTGAGGGTCAGTGAGTGATGGTGGTGAGGGTCAGTGAGTGATGGTGGTGATGGTTAGTGAGTGATGGTGGTGATGGTCAGTGAGTGATGGTGGTGATGGTCAGTGAGTGATGGTGGTGATGGTCAGTGAGTGATGGTGGTGATGGTCAGTGTGTGATGGTGATGGTTAGTGAGTGATGGTGGTGATGGTCAGTGTGTGATGGTGGTGATGGTCAGTGTGTGATGGTGGTGATGGTCAGTGAGTGATGGTGGTGATGGTTAGTGAGTGATGGTGGTGAGGGTCAGTGAGTGATGGTGGTGGGGGTCAGTGAGTGATGGTGGTGATGGTCAGTGAGTGATGGTGGTGATGGTCAGTGAGTGATGGTGGTGATGGTCTGTGATGGTGGTGAGGGTCAGTGAGTGATGGTGGTGATGGTCAGTGAGTGATGGTAGTGAGGGTCAGTGGGTGATGGTGGTGATGGTCAGTGAGTGATGGTGGTGATGGTTAGTGAGTGATGGTGGTGATGGTCAGTGAGTGATGGTGGTGATGGTTAGTGAGTGATGGTGGTGATGGTCTGTGATGGTGGTGAGGGTCAGTGAGTGATGGTGGTGATGGTCAGTGTGTGATGGTGGTGATGGTCTGTGATGGTGGTGAGGGTCAGTGAGTGATGGTGGTGATGGTCAGTGAGTGATGGTGGTGATGGTCTGTGATGGTGGTGAGGGTCAGTGAGTGATGGTGGTGATGGTCAGTGTGTGATGGTGGTGATGGTCAGTGAGTGATGGTGGTGATGGTCAGTGAGTGATGGTGGTGAGGGTGATGGTCAGTGAGTGATGGTGGTGATGGTCAGTGAGTGATGGTGGTGATGGTCAGTGAGTGATGGTGGTGATGGTTAGTGGGTGATGGTCAGTGAGTGATGGTGGTGAGGGTCAGTGAGTGATGGTGGTGATGGTCAGTGAGTGATGGTGGTGAGGGTCAGTGAGTGATGGTGGTGAGGGTCAGTGAGTGATGGTGGTGATGGTCAGTGAGTGATGGTGATAGTCAGTGAGTGATGGTGGTGATGGTCAGTGAGTGATGGTGGTGATGGTCAGTGAGTGATGGTGGTGATGGTCTGTGATGGTGATGATGGTCAGTGAGTGATGGTGGTGATGGTCAGTGTGTGATGGTGGTGATGGTCAGTGGGTGATGGTGGTGATGGTCAGTGAGTGATGGTGGTGATGGTCAGTGTGTGATGGTGGTGATGGTCAGTGTGTGATGGTGGTGATGATCAGTGTGTGATGGTGATGGTTAGTGAGTGATGGTGGTGATGGTCAGTGTGTGATGGTGGTGATGGTGATGGTCAGTGTGTGATGGTGGTGATGGTCAGTGAGTGATGGTGGTGATGGTTAGTGAGTGATGGTGGTGAGGGTCAGTGAGTGATGGTGGTGATGGTTAGCGAGTGATGGTGGTGAGGGTCAGTGAGTGATGGTGGTGAGGGTCAGTGAGTGATGGTGGTGAGGGTCAGTGAGTGATGGTGGTGATGGTTAGTGA